GACTACAGGCGCGCGCCACTGCACCCGGCGAGAGCTGTGAGAATCAGCGCTGCTACTGAATCCAGTGGCTCACAGCGCCCTCTAGTGTATGAAAACAAAATACCAGGGAATGATTAGGCAGGATCCGATGAACTAAAGCATTTTACAATCTCTTTGGTAGCTATATTGTTAAAGGTAAGTAGTACATTGTCTTATTTATGCATTTTTTAATTGCTAAATTATTTTTGCACAATACATTTAAATTATAGCTATCTAACCACATGTAGGCCCTAGCCTGAGTTTTTTTTTTTTTATCCACTAGCATATTTATCTTAATCTATTCTAATTGGTAACTTTAAAAATTAAATAAAGTGATCTTAGTTTAACAAATCAATCGTTTTCTTTATATATAGATTTTCAGCAGTTTGATCATTAAATATCTTTAATTGGCTATTTGTAAAATACGGACATCTAAACTACATTTGTGATACATTAAAAAATATAAGGCATTGGTGTAAATGTATCTAACAGGGAAGCCATTTAGAAAAAATGTACTTTATTATAATAAATGAAGACTGGATTGGACAGTTTTATTTGGCCATTAAGGGCTTTATTTTATGTTCATTTGTTGTTGCTGTTATTTATTAGATTTCACAGAATAACTGTTCACACAAAAGAATGGGTCTCACTGTATCGCTCAGGCAGCACTGCAGTGTATTCACAGGCACGATCCCACTACTGATCGACACAGGGATTTTGACCTGCTTCGTCTCCGACCTGGGCCGGTTCACCCCTCCTTAGGCGACCTGGTGGTCCCGGGCTCCCCCAGGAACACCATATCGATACCGAACTTAGCGCGGACACCCAATCGACATAGTCCACTGCAGTCCAGAACCCCTGAGCTCAAGAGATCCACCAGCCTCAGCCTCCCAGTAGCTTGGACTACAGGCACGCGCCACTGCACCCGGCGAGAGCTGTGAGAATCAGCGCTGCTCCTGAATCCAGTGGCTCACAGCGCCCTCTAGTGTATGAAAACAAAATACCAGGGAATGATTAGGCAGGATCCGATGAACTAAAGCATTTTACAATCTCTTTGGTAGCTATATTGTTAAAGATAAGTAGTACATTGTCTTATTTATGCATTTTTTAATTGCTAAATTATTTTTGCACAACGCATTTAAATTATAGCTGTCCTACGCTATCTCACGACCAATTCGTACGAATTCGACCAATGATTAAATAGTGGCTAATTCGTACAACCTCACTCATACGAATTCGTACGATTTGTCTAAACCCACGTGATGGTTAGGTTTAGGGGCGGGGTAAGGGTCAGGTCATTCGTACGAATTCATACGAATTGGCCAATTCGTAAAATATGTACGATTTAGCAAAATAGCAATATAGGCCCTAGCCTGAGTTTTTATTTTTTTGTATTTTTTTTTAGCAACTAGCCTATTTCTCTTAATCTATTCTAATTGGTAACTTTAAAAATAAAATGAAGTGATCTTACCTTAACAAATCAATCATTTGCTTTATCTATAGATTTTCAGCTGTTTGATCATTAAATATGTATTATAGGCTATTTTTAAAATACGGACAACTAAATTACATTTGTGAGACATTACAAAAATATAAGGCATTGGTGTAAATGTATGTAACAGGGAAGCCATATAGAAAAAAATTACTTTATTATGATAAATGAAGACTGGATTGGAAAGTTTTATTTGGCCATTAGTGGCTTTATTTTGTGTTCATTTGTTGTTGCTGCTGTTTATTAGATTCCACAGAATAACTGTTCACACAAAAGACAGAGTCTCGCTGTATCGCTCAGGCTGCACTGCAGAGTCTATTCACAGGCGCGATCCCACTACTGATCGACATGGGGACTTTGACCTGCTTCGTCTCCGACCTGAGCCGGTTCACCCCTCCTTAGGCGACCTGGTGGTCCCGGGCTCCCCCAGAAGCACCATATCGATACCGAACTTAGCACGGACACCCGATCGACATAGTCCACTGCAGTCCAGAACCCCTGAGCTCAAGCAATCCATCAGCCTCAGCAGTGCCGGCGCTATGGGGGGGCATTAGGGGGCAATGCCCCCCCCAAATGTATTTTGTGCCCCCCCATATTGAATTATGATATAATTTACAAAATAATATCAGTTTAATTTAATTCACATTTCAGTGAGAAATAGTACAAATATATGTCTACAAACGGCTCATTAGCTGAAAATACAATAAAGCCAACATAAAAACCAGTGTGACGCTGTGAGGAAACCCCCCTGCCGCCCCCCCCCCAATCACGCACGTTAATACTTGAATGAATGATTTTCAGTTGGCGCGACCGCGCGAGCTTCCTGCATTCAAAACAAAGCAAACCGATGAAAACTCTCCAAAAATGGAAATTAGAAAATGGTTCAATACCACAGTTTCTCCTTACACATCGATTACCCCATACAGCAAGACAACGACAGCCCGGCTTTGGTATTTGGTGCTTCTACCGTGCAGTGTTGTAGTCGAGACCGAGACCAAAGACAGTCGAGTCCGAGTCGTAAGTGTATTTATCTAACTGGCATGTAATGTTCACTATGTGTTGTCACGTGATGAAACTAATAGTTTAGTTGGCCTATTTTTTGCCCATTGTCCTGAAATGTCACTCACTCCCGCCGTGGAGAAACAGGTGTTTAAGCCTATATTTTCTTGTAAATGGAAATTGTAGAATAATATCTGTGTATGTTGTGGGTGTTTTTTATTTGTTAAAGGTGTTAAAGGTTTTATTTGATAAAGGTAACTACATGATGCTTTTTTAAGGCTACGAATATAAATGCTTATGTTAGAACATAGCAGAATAAAGATGAGTAACTTAGCTTTTTTTTTTCTCACTTCCGCCATTGAGATAGCATATAAACGGCTATTCTGTCAGTGAGAGACTATGTACATGTTCGTTAGCTTTGCTATTATAAAGCTGTGGTCAGAGTCAGTCTTGCAATTTTTTTTTTTTGTATAGGCCTTGATCAAATTTCTTAAGAGTCGCTCGTCTTGCAACAATGTGTAATGTTTTATGTGTTTATTGTGTGGGTTGCATTACTTCATGTTAATAGCTAACAGAAAAGGCAGAAGCAATAATAAATATAGGATATCTAATATCGGAAAAAAAGTCCCCATACCTACCTAGTGCCCACCCATTGAAAATAAATGCCCCCCTGCTAAAAGCGGTCTGAAGCCGGCTCTGAGCCTCAGCCTCCCAGTAGCTTGGACTACAGGCGCGCGCCACTGCACCCGGCGAGAGCTGTGAGAATCAGCGCTGCTACTGAATCCAGTGGCTCACAGCGCCCTCTAGTGTATGAAAACAAAATACCAGGGAATGATTAGGCAGGATCCGATGAACTAAAGCATTTTACAATCTCTTTGGTAGCTATATTGTTAAAGGTAAGTAGTACATTGTCTTATTTATGCATTTTTTAATTGCTAAATTATTTTTGCACAATACATTTAAATTATAGCTATCTAACCACATGTAGGCCCTAGCCTGAGTTTTTTTTTTTTTATCCACTAGCATATTTATCTTAATCTATTCTAATTGGTAACTTTAAAAATTAAATAAAGTGATCTTAGTTTAACAAATCAATCGTTTGCTTTATATATAGATTTTCAGCAGTTTGATCATTAAATATCTTTAATAGGCTATTTGTAAAATACGGACATCTAAACTACATTTGTGATACATTAAAAAATATAAGGCATTGGTGTAAATGTATCTAACAGGGAAGCCATATAGAAAAAATGTACTTTATTATAATAAATGAAGACTGGATTGGACAGTTTTATTTGGCCATTAAGGGCTTTATTTTATGTTCATTTGTTGTTGCTGTTATTTATTAGATTTCACAGAATAACTGTTCACACAAAAGAATGGGTCTCACTGTATCGCTCAGGCAGCACTGCAGTGTCTATTCCCAGGCACGATCCCACTACTGATCGACACGGGGACTTTGACCTGCTTCGTCTCCGACCTGGGCCGGTTCACCCCTCCTTAGGCGACCTGGTGGTCCCGGGCTCCCCAGGAACACCATATCGATACCGAAATTAGCGCGGACACCCAATCGACATAGTCCACTGCAGTCCAGAACCCCTGAGCTCAAGAGATCCACCAGCCTCAGCCTCCCAGTAGCTTGGACTACAGGCACGCGCCACTGCACCCGGCGAGAGCTGTGAGAATCAGCGCTGCTCCTGAATCCAGTGGCTCACAGCGCCCTCTAGTGTATGAAAACAAAATACCAGGGAATGATTAGGCAGGATCCGATGAACTAAAGCATTTTACAATCTCTTTGGTAGCTATATTGTTAAAGATAAGTAGTACATTGTCTTATTTATGCATTTTTTAATTGCTAAATTATTTTTGCACAACGCATTTAAATTATAGCTGTCCTACGCTATCTCACGACCAATTCGTACGAATTCGACGAATGATTAAAAAGTGGCTAATTCGTACTAATTCGTACAACCTCACTCATACGAATTCGTACGATTTGTCTAAACCCACGTGATGGTTAGGTTTAGGGGCGGGGTAAGGGTCAGGTCATTCGTACGAATTCATACGAATTGGCCAATTCGTAAAATATGTACGATTTAGCAAAATCTTACTAATTCGTACGAGTGAGGTCGTAAGAATTCTTACGAATTACCCACTTTTTAATCATTCCTCGAATTCGTACGATTGGTCGTGAGATCGGCTTGAGCTGTCTAACCACATATAGGCCCTAGCCTGAGTTTTTATTTTTTTGTATTTTTTTTTAGCAACTAGCCTATTTCTCTTAATCTATTCTAATTGGTAACTTTAAAAATAAAATGAAGTGATCTTACCTTAACAAATCAATCATTTGCTTTATCTATAGATTTTCAGCTGTTTGATCATTAAATATGTATTATAGGCTATTTTTAAAATACGGACAACTAAATTACATTTGTGAGACATTACAAAAATATAAGGCATTGGTGTAAATGTATCTAACAGGGAAGCCATATAGAAAAAATTTACTTTATTATGATAAATGAAGACTGGATTGGAAAGTTTTATTTGGCCATTAGTGGCTTTATTTTGTGTTCATTTGTTGTTGCTGCTGTTTATTAGATTCCACGGAATAACTGTTCACACAAAAGACCGAGTCTCGCTGTATCGCTCAGGCTGCACTGCAGAGTCTATTCACAGGCGCGATCCCACTACTGATCGACACGGGGACTTTGACCTGCTTCGTCTCCGACCTGGGCCGGTTCACCCCTCCTTAGGCGACCTGGTGGTCCCGGGCTCCCCCAGAAGCACCATATCGATACCGAACTTAGCACGGACACCCGATCGACATAGTCCACTGCAGTCCAGAACCCCTGAGCTCAAGCAATCCACCAGCCTCAGCCTCCCAGTAGCTTGGACTACAGGCGCGCGCCACTGCACCCGGCAAGAGCTGTGAGAATCAGCGCTGCTACTGAATCCAGTGGCTCACAGCGCCCTCTAGTGTATGAAAACAAAATACCAGGGAATGATTAGGCAGGATCCGATGAACTAAAGCATTTTACAATCTCTTTGGTAGCTATATTGTTAAAGGTAAGTAGTACATTGTCTTATTTATGAATTTTTTAATTGCTAAATTATTTTTGCACAATACATTTAAATTATAGCTATCTAACCACATGTAGGCCCTAGCCTGAGTTTTTTTTTTATCTACTAGCATATTTATCTTAATCTATTCTAATTGGTAACTTTAAAAATTAAATAAAGTGATCTTAGTTTAACAAATCAATCGTTTGCTTTATATATAGATTTTCAGCAGTTTGATCATTAAATATGTTTAATAGGCTATTTGTAAAATACGGACATCTAAACTACATTTGTGATACATTAAAAAAATATAAGCCATTGGTGTAAATGTATCTAACAGGGAAGCCATATAGAAAAAATGTACTATATTATAATAAATGAAGACTGGATTGGACAGTTTTATTTGGCCATTAAGGGCTTTATTTTATGTTCATTTGTTGTTGCTGTTATTTATTAGATTTCACAGAATAACTGTTCACACAAAAGAATGGGTCTCACTGTATCGCTCAGGCTGCACTGCAGTGTCTATTCACAGGCACGATCCCACTACTGATCGACACGGGGACTTTGACCTGCTTCGTCTCCAACCTGGGCCGGTTCACCCCTCCTTAGGCGACCTGGTGGTCCCGGGCTTCCCCAGAAGCACCATATCGATACCCAACTTGGCGCGGACACCTGATCGACATAGTCCACTCCAGTCCAGAACCCCTGAGCTCAAGCGATCCACCAGCCTCAGCCACCCAGTAGCTTGGACTACAGGCGCGCACCACTGCACCCAGCGAGAGCTGTGAGAATCAGCGCTGCTACTGAATCCAGTGGCTCACAGCGCCCTCTAGTGTATGAAAACAAAATACCAGGGAATGATTAGGCAGGATCCGATGAATTTAAGCATTTTACAATCTCTTTGGTAGCTTTATTGTTAAAGGTAAGTAGTACATTGTCTTATTTATGCATTTTTTAATTGCTAAATTATTTTTGCACAATGCATTTAAATTATAGCTGTCCTACGCTATCTCACGACCAATTCGTACGAATTCGACGAATGATTAAAAAGTGGCTAATTCGTACTAATTCGTACGACCTCACTCAAACGAATTCGTACGATTTGTCTAAACCCACGTGATGGTTAGGTTTAGGGGCGGGGTAAGGATCAGGTCATTCGTACGAATTCATACGAATTGGCAAATTCGTAAAATATGTACGATTTAGCAAAATCGTACTAATTCGTACGAGTGAGGTCGTATGAATTGTTACGAATTAGCCACTTTTTAATCATTCGTCGAATTCGTACGATTGGTCGTGAGATCGGGTTGAGCTGTCTAACCACATGTAGGCCCTAGCCTGAGTTTTTATTTTTTTTATTTTTTTTTAGCAACTAGCCTATTTCTCTTATTCTATTCTAATTGGTAACTTTAAAAATAAAATGAAGTGATCTTAGCTTAATGACTCGTAAATGTAAGTACACATTGATGGCCAAAGACACGAAACGAGCGGTTTGTGTGAAACGGAAAGTATTTATATTGTTTTTACCTATTGTAATCACAGTCACGTCCAAGTACTCTGAGGCCGAGGGCGCTTCTCTCTGCGAAACCGGCGGCAAGCGCCAGAAGTGATCTCTCGCGTGTGTACGTCACTCATTGTTTACACAGAGATTTCAGAAGTGTTACCCTTCACTGTGAAGATCTAAACATATTTAGATATACAGGAAATTGCAATTGAAGACGATTTCGATATATACATAGACAACGTTGATTTTTTTTTCCGCAACCGCGCAAGAGATCACTTCCAAAGCGCCCGTGCCTTCAGATCACTTGGACGTGGCTGTGATTACAAGAGGTAAAAACAATATAAATACTGTTACTTTTCTCACACAAACCGCTCGTTTCGTGTCTTAGGCCATCAATGTGTACTTACATTTACGAGTCATTAAATCATGTTTAATTTTGACTTCTCTGTGTATAATCTTTGAGGTAGACCCAGGGTGAACCCCATAGACCTGCATTATATGACGGACAGACAAGAACGGTTTTGACCTAAAAATATCAAAAATTGAAAATACTGCCGAAACAAAGACCCCTACATCTTGGATGCCCTTGAGGTAAGCTAAAACATACCAAAAATGTATTTCAAAGTGAACTATCCCTTTAAATGGGCGAACTAACCCTTTAAGAACACGCAAGACGGGGGTGCAAAAAAAAGTCCATACTGTAGCTCTCCTTCTTTTAAAACTACAAAGACAGTTCAACTATCAAAATAAACCACATAACATCTAGAATAAAGGCATATCAATGCACATTTCCTGCCAGTCCTGTGTGAAATACAACAGCACTCAAAGTTTTTTATCAAACATTATCGTGAGATGTGGAGCCAGAGCACAAGAGAACAACGGCATCTGAAGTAGCTGCTCTCGTAAAAGATCTTGCTCGCCTTTCAATTGTCCAATTTCAAAACTGTTTTCAGAGGATGAATTGATCAATAATATATTGAATCTGAATTTAAAAAAATACAAGCCAATAAATAAAAAATAATTTTCAAAAGCCGAAATTTCGGTGCATCCCTACTTGCTTTAGATTATTTGCATTCAATACTAATAGAAAGAGTTCGTTTGAATTATACCTAATCAATGATGATTACTAAAATATGTGATATAAAAAAAGGCAATAAAAAAAGAGCGCGAATCGTCTGACGGTGAAAGTTAATTAAAATTGTTTTTCTCAAAATTCCATTCCTGAAAATCATAACGATTAGCCACCCATAATGTTTGTTACCGACAAACAATTAAAGGGTTAGTTCACCCAAAAATGGAAATTCTGTCATTATTTACTCACCCTCATGTTGTTCCAACCCCGTAAGACCTTCGTTCATCTTCGGAACACAAATTAAGATATTAAGATCGTTCCTTCATACTAGTCCATAGGCTTCTTGAGGGAATGACTCGCTGTCCTCGAAAAAACATTAAAGACATCGTTAAAATAGTCCAAGTGACTACAGGGGCTCAATCTTAAGTTTATCAAACGACAAGAACACTTTTTTTGCGCACAAACAACAAAAATAACGACTTTATTTCAACTATTCGTTTATTTCTCCCTCTGCCTCGAGTTACTAGTTTAATAGCATAAGCTTCTGTTATTGAGCGTCACATGCATCACACACATGACCAGCGTCGGCCAATAGTGAGCCTAGCTCTACGCAATCACACTACGTTAACTGACTACAGACCCATAGAGAAGGAAGTGAATAGTTGAAATAAAGTCGTTATTTATGTTTGTTTTTGCGCACAAAAAGTATTCTCGCTGTTTGATAAAGTTAAAAATGAGCCACTGTAGTCACTTGGACTATTTTAACGATGTCTTTGATGACTTTTCGATGCCAGCAAGTGTCATTCCCTTAAGAAGCCTATGGACTAGTATGTAGGAGCGATCTTAATATCTTAAATATCTTAATTTGTGTTCCGAAGATGAACGAAGGTCTTACGGGGTTGGAACAACATGAGGGTGAGTAAATACTGACAGAATTTTCATTTTTGGGTGAACTAACCCTTCAAATAAAAACAGATATTGAAAGTGGTTGAAACCATCTTAAATATGGTATCAAAACCTGTAATAGGTAAAATTTCAACATGTCATGGGTTTTCCCAGATTGCATCACAAATTATAATTTAATGCTTGTTTTATTTTTTGTTGCAAGCGACCCAGGGTATGTAACAGTGCAAGTTTTTTTTTTCTTTTCTTTTTTATCTGAGCAACAACAATTAAAGCTCTAATTCAATAACTCTTGTCTGGTGCACAATGATGATGTAATGTTTCACTCATTTGTTTTTTTTTTTTTTTTTTTTTAACAAAACAAAATTGTTTTTTTACAACAGCATACCTGGCATATGTCCCTGAAAAGAAAATTTAAAACTGAAATGTCCCCACTTGTTAATGAAGAGGAGGTAAAAAAGATTAAAATGAAATATGGTCACAATGTAAAGAAACCTGGAGAAAAAGAGGCTAGTTGTCAGAGAACCAGCAGATCAGTGGTAAGCAATGTCTATCAGTGATAAAAACAATATAAAACATTAAAATAAACGTTTAGAATCTATAGCTAGTCTTTCCTCAAAGGAATAATTCACTCAGATTAAATATGAGTGAATCTTGAAACCTGTAATCTTGTCATTACATGTGTGTTTTGCATCATAGGCAGATGAAGACTGTGTGTCTTCTATTGGAGAGGACGCTGTTTCAATCAATGCCCATGTGAAGACCTTACAGGACCAGTACAAGAAGACCCAACCAGATGCTGCAATAGTGGATGAAAAAATGAAACAAACATTTGCTTGGAGGAGGAGGGAAATAACCAATGGCATTCCTGTTGCTGAAATTTTTCAAAAATATCCCTTCCTTAGGACCCCTTCAGTTGTAAGTAAAAAAAAAAAAAGAAAAGCTTAGCTATATTGTTTACCGATTTCCATACAGTGAAATCATAAAAAATATTGCTACTTTTTTAGTGAATATCTTACTGTTTACCATACAGTAGCTGTGCCTAAATGCTGCTTAAGTGAAAACAATTTTTTTTTTTTGTAAACAACGCAATTTCTCAAATGTGGGAACAAGCGTTGGAAAGTTCCCATTAGAACATGGAAACATGTGTGTGAACTGTTGCTTAATACTATGGTGAGAAAAGAAAAACATTTAAATTAATTGTTTTTTTTTCTTTTGGTGTTTGTGTTTCAGTTGTTTCAGGAAATGGGTCGAATGCATGCCGTAAATAATTTCAGCCGGTGTTTCCAGGATTCCTTCAGCAAAATTGTCTCTAATGTTTTGAGTTTGGCTAAGGGGAAATCCGTTATAGAAGCACATTACATGGATGCCAGAAGCGAAGCTGTTGCAGAGAGTCTTTGTGGTATGCAGCAAGCCTAATCTATAATATGGTTTGTTGAAGAAAAATTACGTGTAAAACAGTTCCGCTACCCAAAATAATAACCTGAAAAGCACCATTTATTTTATTTTATCTTTGCTTTATTGTATTTATTTGAGCGATTGCTTGTAGTTTGATTATTTGTTCTTTTTTTTTTTTCTTTCCCGTCAGTAGACCTTTTTCTGAACATGACACGTACTGAAACCGTGAGCAATTTAAACTGTTACACCCCTAATACATGTTCAATGTCTTTTTAGATATGGATTTTCGTGCTGCTCTGGTTTTACTTCCGGTGATTTTCAGGGAGAAAGTGGATGATTATATCACAATCAGACAGGTATTGAATGCAAAGAATTTAAAGCAAGTAGGGATGCACTGAAATTTAATTCAGATTCATTACATTATTGAATTTAATTAAACTCTTATAATAATACAATTATATAAAAAAAGAAATAGTGAAGTGAGACTAAATAAGAAGTGTAGATGCACAGTTTTAACTAGTCATTGGGAACATGAATTTAATCCAGATTTACTTCTGATGTTTATAATATTGGTTCTTCTATTTTTTTTTTAGGAAGAACCAGCCACACCATATCCCACTGTACAGATTTTGGGAGCTTCTAACTGGAAACAGGTCTTCAGTGAGAGGAGAATCTTCAGCACTGTAAAAATGGAGGGATCTGAAGTTTGCAGAGCAGTTGGGGTAGAGGATGGTGTTCTCTCTGCTTTTTGCGCAAATTTTGTATTCAACCTTGCGTATCCCTCGTACAACAGGAACACTCTACTCTTTCTCCAAAGGCATGTGTTGAAGGTAACTGCACCTGGTGATAAGCCATTGCCAACTGCTGTCGTCAGGATTATTAATCTTTTATCTTAGATTGAGAGGATGCCACGGCCCTATGTATGTCCAAAGTGTTCACGCAGACACTTTATGTAGTGAAACTAATCAAACATATAGGATTGATTCATGCTCACGCCAAAATTTCTTTTTCAAATACGAGTCTTTCAGGCGTCATGTATATAGAAAACAGAACTCACATTTGGCCAAGTCGTTATAACGTCACTGGAGAGGATGAAGTTGACATTAGTGAACTGCAGAGGATACTCCTGAAGATGTTGTGGTGGATATGAATGATCTTTTGACTAATTTAGATACATTGTGGATACTGTGTGGAAAACTGTTGCTCCCACAATTGTTTGATACTCATTTCCATGCATTTCGGGTTTTATATGACAATGATTGGTTTTGTGTGATGCCAGGAGAGGAACTGGACTACCAGTCACCTTTATGCGATCGATGACCTCTTGTATGTTGGAGCTAGATATGCATAGTCATTAGATTTGTGCACATCTCAATGTTTATAATTGAATTCTTTAAAAATGTTAATGTGATGTAAATGCAAGGGTATTGTGTGGAAGGTAAAAATGAATTTAAATGTCTGAATTTTTTTTATTAAATAGCTTGTGAATTTTTATTGTAGAAGGGAGAATGAAATTGACATTATAGTGTAATTGTTTTATGAAATGTTTTGTAGCAAATGGAGAAATGTTTTTTTTTTTTTTATGTTCGGTTAAAATATGTTTGAAATCTCCATTGTAAACTGTAAAGAAGATTTTAAACAAAAAGAAAAATTTTAACCTGGAATAAGAGTATTGCGTGGAGGGTAAAAAAGGAATTTAAAAGTCTAAATTGTAAAGTATATTAAAAAAAATTTTTTTGTAGATGGGAGAATGAAATTGACATATTGTGATATTTTAGTGTAATTTTATGAAATATTTTGTAGCGAATGGAGAAATGTTTGGTTAAAAATATGTTTGAAGTCTCCATTGTGTTAAGATGCATTTAAACAAAAATATGTTTGAAGTCTTCATTGTGTTAAGATGGATTTAAACAAAAATAAATATTTTAACCTGGAACAAAGTATTAATTCAAAAACATGTATTTGATGTGAATGGTTTCTGACATTAAATCGATGCCTTGTTATTCAATAGAAAAATGGCCTTTAATTGATGAATACTTGAAGGAACACATTTGACACATTAAAGGAGAACTCCGGCGAACAATTAACCTTTGGTCTAATAAAACATCGGTACACAGTCAACCGTTCTCTGAGATTTGTTTTCATGATAATCGAATGTAAAGAGTTTTATCTCTAAAAACTGTTAAGCGTATAATGCTAGCCATGGGGGCATTGACTTACCACTAACAAGGCTCAAAATAGCCCCACACTATAACGCAGTAACTTAATGAGGCTCCATACAAAACGAAGCATTGAGAACTTTGTAAGTGTACAGACCGTTTAATAAGAAGATACTTTATGAAGACAGTTCACTTCGCGTATACAGACAGGAGCCATCTTAAAGAATAGTCTCGATAAGTCGATCCCCAAGGCGGAAGCGTCGGATTCTGCAGTCGCGCGCAGTTGCTCTCCACCGACCGATTTTTTTTTTTTTTCAAATTGAAACTGATATTGTGAGTCTCTTAAACGGGTTAATAAGAAAGCTATGTCAGTAACTCAAATATACTCTAAAATTTTCAAGTGAAAATTAGGAAAATTTCTCTCATTTTATAGATGATGAAGTTTGTAAGTCTGTCTATTTAAACTAAACTTATTTTGATTTATTTTGATTTTTTATTATTAATTTTATTCTGATGTTTATTATTTGTCGCTGTATAATATTTGTTTCACGAATTGTAGTGCTTGTATGTTTGTAACTTGCATTCTAATAAAAAATAAAATACATACTAAAAAAACAACAGTGATGAATTGTTCTCTTTTAAAATGTTTGATTTTAAAACTGATATCATGTTTTATGTGTATACATATGGGTGAATAAACTAAATAAAAAAATATAAAAACACGTCTGTATTAAATAAAAAATGATTGATAAACACGGAATGTAGCCTAATTAAATAACAAGTACTTTGGGTGTCTTGTTCATTATATTTATTTTCATATAAAAGCAACAGAATTTAAATCACATCCAGTTTATTAGCAACACGTGCACCAGCGTGAATCCCGTGAATCCCGCGATATCAGACTTGATCTCACAGGTGTCTGATTCACTGCGAGAACCGAGATTTGTCCGGCTTGAATGCGCTTTTTTCACTCCTCCTCTAACTGCAGCCGCCAACTCTCGACTACAATGCAGGCGAGGCGAGGGGCATCTCAAACAAGCCTATTGTGGTGGCGTTCAAGTGCGTTCAACTCGTAATTACGATCTATACGAGATGACTTGAACGCAGCATCTGAGTGAGAGTGAGGTCAAAGTCCTTTCAGGCGTTGCTAGGCGAGCTTATTATCATAAGAACCAATCACAACCATTCAACGGCTCTGGAACCAATCAGGACTCACATGTAAGTAGTAAGCTAGTGTTTGAATTTAAACAAGTACAAACTTTTTTATCATCTCTGGAAAATGTATCTGATCAAATTTAAATAATATGTTGAAATCCTTGTGGGAATTTAAACGTAGCATGCAGTGGACAACATCCTTTTAAGAAGCTCTTTACAAGTAAAAGTGAACATCAGTAATTTTAGGTATGCTTATTGCAATGCTCAATATAGTTGACAAATGTTTCTAATACATTACAAGTATATATATATATATATATATATAAAATATTTAAATATTATATATATATATATATATATATATATAATATTTAAATATTAAAATGATAAATGCATACATTTTTTAAATGTATTGCAGTAGGCATACATGTTTATAAAGTTCATATATTTTAAAACCACTAAATGCTTAATAATGTGTTCTTACACAAAGTAATCCAAAAATGTATTTTTAAGTAAGAGCAACATAAGTATGTTTTCTTTAAATGCACTAAAACTTCACTAAAATTATGCTTGTGTTTAGCATATTTCTTAAAAATACAATTAAGCATGTATTTATACCAATGTACTTCTAGTGCATTTGTTAGAAATATGTTAAAAGTATACTTGTGTTGAGCATATTTCTTAAAAGTTTAACAAAGCATATATTTGGAACCAATGTACTTATACTGCCCTTTTTAGAAATATGTTAAAAGCATGCTTGTTTTCAATATACTTTTAGAAAATATACTTAAGTACAATTATTTTAAAGTGTGTTTAAAGTTGTATTGTGAAAATAGGTAAAAAGCATGATGCTAATATACTTTTAATGTATTTAAATGTAGTACATTTTTTGTTAGTATATTTGCAATGTACTATTGTATACTTTTTTTTCACTAGGGATGGTATAACACTCTGGGCTGTCTCCAAGCTGCCCAGCCATAGCTAACGTTAGATGCTAACTAATACTAACTGGCTTAGTTGGTATGGTAACATAATTAAAGCCAGTAACTTGCAAGTACACTACTTTATGTTAAATACAGATAGTTTAGGGGTTGAATTAATTAAATAATCGGCTTACCTGTTATGAAATGCTTCCCACATACATATGTGTGAGGGGTCTTTGGGTCCCACAACCCTCCATCTGGTGCTTCCCTCTTTATCGCCTGAAGCCATAACATTCTTCTTTCCGCTTGTTTTATTCGGCATGGTAAAGGTATAAATTTCAAACCGGATGTTTTAAAAACATTTGAGGTGCAGTTCACCACGCAACAACTTTTGGGCATGTTATTTTTGTTCTTCTGTTACCGGAGTAGACAAAATTCAGAACGTGTCCAGACCGTTTGTTTTCCCCCAAAAAGGGGCGTTAACCTTCGATGACGCAAAAGTAGCGTTGCCTTATACTAGGTCCGGTCACAGGGGGGCGATCGAGACGTTTTGGCTTCACTTTTGAGGGCTTGTGCGGCACGCTTGGTTAAGCCGCACAAAAGGCACAAAAAACTTTCTAAAGTACCATAAAGTTTCCGTGTACTATAAGTGTTCTGAAGCCATTATGTGAGATAAAAATTAATATTTAAGTCATTAAATTCAAGCTCACGTAAACGTTTCCCTCCGCTGTGGCTGTCAGTCATTCTCCATTCAGCGTTTAAACAGCGCGTCGCGTTCGGTTACAATGATGAAACTATCTTCAAGATGATTCAATAATGCTAATACTATTATACTTGATCTGTAGACAAAGGTCTATGGTTTCGAATGAAAAAACTTTATCTTACTGGCAGGGACGTGCACAGAAATTTTGAGGGGCAGTTGCTCTGACCTGAAAAAAGGGAAGTAATCTGGATTGAATGAAAAACTAGCTTCTAATAAAAAAACAAACAAACAAACAAAAAACACTTAGATTTCAGGAAAAAAATAATCTTTTTTTTTTTTACCTTTTAGCTTCCCGTACATTCAGTTGTGCTTCTTGCTCGTATTCCGTTCTGATGGTAGGCTACGGGTAACTACACATATTTTGCAGTATGATTGCGTTAAGGGAACAGGAATTCTGGTAGGGAACAGAATCGACCGCTAAACCTAGTGCCGATCCTGTCCTTCCCCTGGGGCCCTAAGCAAAATTCTGCTAAGGGGCCCTCTACCTCATCTGTGACGCCGTGACCTACACTGTAAAAAAATTCCGTAAAACTACGGTACAATGTAGCATATAAATTAGAGGGATATAAAATAGAAGGATTCCGTTTTTGTCTTTTACAGGTCATTTACCCGTATTTTGAATTATGCGTTGCATTGTGGGAACAATAACCTGTCGGCGCGAAATGTTTTAGCCACAACCGCCATTACACACGCAGATGACCGCGGCCAAAGTTGCTCATTAAAGTCGGATTTCGAGTGTGTGGAAGCCATTCTGACACGTCTGTGGTAAAATACGACATTTATGTTCAAATAAGCTGTTAACGTAACGTCATTTATTTGCCATCTGGCATGTTGGGCAAATTAATGTCGGATCGGAGCTGTCGCGTTTATCATTTTATGCATATCGTCACACATTAAACGATTTAGTATACACTCGTGGAGGTTCCCTGATATATGTGTTATTCTAGTGTGTCCTCGTTTTACTTTGGTTTATTTACTTTTATTTGTCGGCGATGCGGTTTATTTCTTGACGAGCGAATCCGTTAACCAGTTGTGATAAAATGCAGCAACGTTGCTGTTTTTGGAGCAATTGAATGCCTTCAAACAAAAGCTAGCAGAGGAATCGTCATGAAAAGTAAAGGCCGTCAAGACTTGCTTGATGTAAAAGGCATGAAGATACAACGTGAAGATATTGTGTGTGAAGATGCAGTAAGAGTTGGATCAAGGAAAACACCACCACCTTTTCTGCCAGATGAGGTAAGTTAACGTTATGTTTACGTATAAACTTGTTTTTGTTTTAGATGACACGACTTTTAAA